AGGCTGATCCGGCCAGGTCGTGCACAGGTCGCGCACAGGCCGCGCCAGGTCGCACCAGGTCGTGCCAGGCCAGCCAGACCGGTGCCCGGGGGGGAGACCAACTTGGTAAGTTGTCGCCTGGGTGCTTGCCTAGTTGTCACGAGGTGCCACGTGTCGCAATTTCATTGGAGGGCCAAATCTGCCCTCATCAAGATCCCTGATGAGAAATCCAGGAAAAAATATCTACTTATGGCCCTTCAAAGCAGGGATAATAAAGAAAAGGCTAAACCGGTTCAATATAATTTTTAGGCTTTGAATATGATACTGATAAAACTTATAACCAATAAACCGGCATCGTAAAAGTTTAACCAATTATGTGGTATTTTTCAAAATTTTGATTGACCAAAGCTCTTCGGATATTATGTCTTTACGGCATCATACGTTTCTTGCAAATTTTTAATCTAAATGTATCGACAATTTCAATCATGCCATAGACAAAGATAGCATCACACGTATTGATAGTTTGGAACTTGAACTGGATATTGCCTCATTGTTAAAAATAGTATTTTTCAAGGAATGAAATGAAGTGAAACTGACCCAAAAAGCTGGCTACCTGATCGATTTGGTGGATTAACCGGACAGTTAATTGGCTTGTCGAAGCATCCAAAACCACATGACCCATCCAGCTTTGTGGTTTATTGGTTCAACCGCATGAACAGCTCAATTGGGGTTTCAGCGTTGCAGATAGTTCCGAATCCGGGTCGTGAGATCCGATCCATACAACCTTACGTATTCGAACTGGAAGCAAAACAGAAGGCCAAAATGTAGGGATCACACCGACATCCATGCATACAAACATGGATTGCATTCGATCCACATGGAGACAGTTATGATCATGCGCTCGAAGGAAAAGCATTTTAAAAGGGATAGACCGTTTTGGGTGAATCCGATAATTCTTTGGTAGCACGCTTCCCTTTTTTTGATAAAAATTTCCTCAAACCTATCCGGTTTTCCAAAACCGCTATCTAAACCCGCTGGTGGTTAAACCCGACACAAGCCGTGGGAAATGCGTAAGCGTAACCCTCAAAAGAGATTCGCCATGGATCCGTGAACACACGGGGGTCTTCTAATTTGCCCCTATTGTCGCTGAAATTACGATGATGCCATTCCCGGATACCATACGGTTCTGGAAGAAGAGACGGCCAGACCCAGACGGGAGGAAATCGGGCGACTTTGACTTGACTGGTATATGTCTGAAGTGACAGGGGCGTTTATGGTATTTCGGGAAGACAAAAAAGGCGAAGACCGCATTCCTTTTTGTGGAATTCGTGAAGTCCCCGTACGAATCCAGGACGGAAGTTCCGCGCATGTAAACAAAGTAAAGTTTTTGTGAAGTTTTTGCTGCGACAGTGTCGTATCGCTGCGCCGAAACAATGAAATCAAAACCGTTGATGTATTATATGGCCCACTTTGTCAATGAGATGAAATAACATCGTGGTAGGCACGAACAACAAATCTAAGGCCGTGATTCTCTGCGGTAACAGTCTCCGTAACGCTTATCGTATATTCGTATCGACCTGGGTATCCCTTCTATCTCTGCATTTACCCTTTCAAGTTAATCAAATCACCAAATTACTAGAAGCCCAAAAGCTAGTGATGTTTATGACTTATGATGTAGAGCCGTAGAGGAGTCAAGTCAGGTTCTATTCCTGATAATAGCTGATAGGCCCATACCTCACCTGATAGGATCCGACCCGGAATCGACCCATTATAACACTAGGAACTAAATATACAGAGCCAGATCGTGTGTACTGGCCAATGGGTCATATTGATCGTTCAAATCTGTCGGGTCGATTAGACCATTTAAGATTTTTCTGGGGTTATTCTGATGTCATGACACATTAGAATGACAATAACAAGCGCAGTTGGTCGTAGAAACGCATCCTGATTTAGCATTGCAGCATGACTATTATTATAATCCAAAGGCTCCAACGCATTGATGATTATGGATAGGAATTAGGAAGAGTAAATAGTTTTGAAAACTTGGGACCCACAGAACAATGGGATTCAAGGGACCCACAACCACAATAGAGAAGAAACGCCAACCCTCAACAAAAAGCCGAGTGTGCTGCACAGCCAATCTGCAGTTGGGAGATGGGCATTGCGCATTGTTCCATGAGATCATTACGGAACGAATTCCATAAGCACCATCAACGGATGAATGTATGAAATTTGTTTCAAGATCTAAACATGAAATCTCAGAAGAAATAGAAAAGTTTTAATTTGAACTAATTCATTCTCTTCCTCAGCTGTCAGTTCTTACTGTAGATATCTACTTATAAGAAGGATAGAAGAGATTTAACCCCACAGGCGCAGAATGACAGAATCTTCTATGTTTTGAGTAAAACATGTTCATTAATATATGGTTTACTAATACGCCCTTTCTTGTTTCTCGCATCGTTAATCCACAGATGAAAGAAAGAACGGGAGGATTCACATTGAATGCTGTGAGAATTGGGAACATAGAAGAGATACAACTACCACTCAGCACTGGGCAAAATTTCAAAAAAAAAAAGAAGAAAAACAGAACCATCAGTTAATAAAGGAAGAAAAATTTTCATTACTTTGTAAACTTTTCATCTCATCATCATCATCATTACTGTTCAAACTGCTGTTGGTTTCATCTAAGAACCCTAAAAAAAGGGGGAAAAAATTAGTACATCTCATTCAAACCCAAACCCACTATTAAGATTGGGTTTATGGATGGATGCTTGGAATGTCAAAAAAAAACCAGAAACACAAAGACAATGCCTACTCCTTTACAGACCCTGTCGTTTAAAAGAAGAAAAAAAAGAGACTGAAATCCCCCGATAGAGAAGAGAGGGAGAGAGAACTGAAGCAACAAAATCCACCATGGTCGACATCATCAAACCCTGGCCTTCTGCAGCAAGGGTGTGAAAACAAGGCATGTATCCGTCCCTTCCTTACAGGTCTCGAAACCCACATCCGGAAACATATTCAAGAAATCGTCCAACTCCATCTGCCGGAACCTCTGCTCGTCCTTCTCGAGAACTTTCAGAAGCCTCTTGAAGAAACCCACCTCGCACGGAAGCACCAGCCCTCCGTGCGGCTGATACCCGAATTCTTCCTCGGATTTCTTCAGTAGGGAGATGAAGATCGGGAGGTTGAGGAACCGGGTGGGGATCAGGAACCGGCGGCGCTCTGGCCCGACGTATACGGCAAGGAATCCCGACGGAATGCGACGGGCTGAGGCAGAGGAGGAGCTAGAGTAGGTTTCGGAGTCCGAGTCGGGGTGGGAGAGAACGGACCGGCGACCGATGCTCATGGACTTCCAACGCTTCACCACTTGCTTTAGCTGCACGATTTGGCGGATCTTGTCGACCCTTTTGATAGCGCTAGCCATTAAAGCTGCAGAGAGAGCTCCGAGGAAACAGAAGAGCTCTTTGAGAGCGAGAGTGTGAGGAAGTTGTAAAGAAGTTAAAGAGAGAGAGAGATTGTGAAAAGGAGCGGAAATATAAAGGAGCATAAGAGGGCCCTGGGACCGTAACGAGGATCACTTCTTCTTATTCCTTAAAGTACTTAAATACCCCTGTCAATAATAATAATAATAATAATAATAAAAGTGGTTTTAAATGTTTTATCTTCTCCACTACCTTATCTCTCTCGCTTTATTCTTTATCTCTCAATTCTCATATTATAAAATGACAAAAAAAGTTATATATAATATTTTTATAATAAATAAAAATCATATGCCAAAACCCGACCTAGAGGTCCTAGACTCCTTGATCCTTCTACGGTTCTACTTCAATTTCTATGGACAGGATCAGGACTACTAATACTAATAATAATAGTGTGAATCAGCTAGTTGAATCATTTAATATGTTTCTATAAATAACTTAGGATTTTTCCACGTGGCAATTCAGTAGGGAGTCAAGGGACCCACAGTTGGTCTCCGTAGCCACTGACATAAGTTTCGTCTCCAAAACACTTGCCATATATATCCATACACGATAAGACCATCTTTTTGAACAACTTTTATAATTTATACCACAAAATTAAAACTGTGAAATGCTTAGAATGTGTGGAGGAACCATTAATACAAGGTGAGTGGCAGCAGGCTGATATTAGATGGGAGGATTGAATGCCTGACCAATCAAAAGGGCCCCACATGTGGTGGACGGTCTGGATCTGACATATCATATCCTTCCAAAGGATACGGCATCTTTCCAAGGGATATGCCACTCAGAACAAATTTCAAATTCTAGGACATTTCCACTTATGAAATCAATGTTGAGGACATTTGAGCTTGAGGCATTCATTTGAATTTCTAAACAAGGTAATCTTCATACAAAAATGTGGTTTTATTGTATATTTTAAATAAGTATACATACCCTCGAAGTTTTTAGAATTATTTTTCTCCAAATATCATATAGGGAAAATTACTGATTAACCCTGTACTTTGGGCTTAGTCCTATTTTGGTCTGCAAACTTTAAAATGTTCAATAATCGAATTTTCAAAATATATTAATTTAGTACTTATATATTGTTAATCAGCTGTTAACCTGTCGTTAAGTGATATTTGACAAAGATAAAATATCTTTTGAGTGTTATCTAATTTTTTTATTAACCATCCAAATATTGGAAAAAAATTAACAATCATAAATCTTTGCCTCTTTTATTCAGGAAAGTTGGGGTCCACAATGCCCATTAAGACGTGGCCCTAACTTTTTTGAATAGAAGAGACAAGAATTTTGGATTGTTAAATTTTTATCAATACTTGGATGGTTGATAAAGAGAATTAGATGATACTCGAAGGGCATTTGTATCTTTTTTAAATGCCACTTAACAGTTGGTTAACAATTAATTAACGGTACTTATTGGATTGACACGTTTTAAAAGTTCGGGTACTAAATTGTTGCATTATAAAGTTTGGGTACCAAAGTGGCACTAAACCCAATGGACAGGATATTAATTGGGAATTTTCTCTATCATATATTAAGGTAGTTATATTTTTTGGAACCCATCTTAAATTTTTAATATAATCTACCATGCATTATATTGCAAAAAAAAAAAGGAAAAAAATAGGGGGATCCAATGGAACTTTTTTTTTGTGATAGGGATTTCAATTGAGCATGGCACCAAGGATGATTAAGGAAAATCGGGGTTGTGTTTTGGATAAGTTTCAGTATTTATACTTTCAAGCAACCGAAAAAAAACAAAAGAAGTAAGAAAAAAAATAAAGAAAATGCTTTCAAACAGCAAAAGCACAAAAGCCCCGACTAAGGCTTTGTCCTTTTGAGGGTTAAAGTGTTTGGCTTCAAATTATAATGTTTTTCGAAAGCAACTTTTACCAATGCTCAAGACACTTTTTCGGCTCAATTTTGTTTTTCAAATCTCAGAAATGGAAAATTAAAGCTTATCTAAACAGAGGGAATGATGTAATATTGGTTACTAATGAAAAGAAAATGACAAGCAAAAGTTTATTATATATTATTATAAAGCGGATATTTGCCTTAATTTAATGTAAATTATAAAATTTAAATTTAATTACATAGTGTCAATTTATACATCTTCCATTTATTTGCACACGCGCACGTGCCCTTACATAGGTAACATTAGACCGGGTCATAGTTCTATTATGCCATATTATGCATCATGTGCTGTCTTGCATTTATAAGTTACAATAACTACTATATAGATTTTTTAATTAATTGAAATCAACATTTTAAAGGAAAAAAATAGGGTAAAAGACTTAAATCTCCCCCAAATTTTCTAATAAATACTTAAATCTATCCCCTTTTTTCTAAATACTTACCTTCCCATCACAATAAAATGCTGTTATAATTGACAGAATTTGTGATATCTAATGCTACTCAATCCGATGTAGTGTATGAACCAATGATAGCAATCAGATAGTCCTTACTGGTAGGTTGGGGCCGAGCTTCGAGGATGAGGTGGTGGATGGCCGGGCCGAACTATAGGGAAGCTGGTTTGGGCTAATTATAAGTGTGGGTGTCAGAAGTCAAGAGTCCCTTACCTCGAGCATGAAGTACCTTTTTATAGCCATAGGGTCTGTATTCTGATCGGAGTAGGTTTACAGAGGGTAAAGTCCTACTCCTCAATAGAGTTGTCTTCCCATCCCTATCCGCTAGGCGGGCTTATCCGTGAGGGGCATAGTTGATGTGGTCGGCAGGACCATGGCAATGCCGTAGCCCGATTAGACTGTGTCGACGTGGCCGAGCTGTGACAGATGGTCGGGGGCCTCATGGCCAGCTCAGCCATGTTCCCAACAACATCTATTTGCACCAATGCTTCCGTTCTCTTAAGAAATTGCTGACCGTTATGCTATTCTGTATTGGCTTTTGCATCTAAAAGCATTTATCTTTGGGAGAGTGACGGTTCAGTCCAAGGTTAGAATTTGTAGGCCCAAAGTACTATTGGGTAGGTGCGAGTTTAGAATTAATACCAATTTACGGGGATGGATGATGATGCATAGAATGTGGGTTGTTGACATTTTGAATGTTTATAGCTCTACAGTCAGAAATTTGCATTGGACCTGTCTATATTTTTCCGTTTATCTTTTCAATGAACAGCGCACCACCACCTTCCACCAGTCGTCCCCTTAAGTGGGCTCAACGCTTAGTGGATTGGTCGTCGGTGACCGGAATCTCAAATTCTCTGTACAAAAGGGTAAAATTGGGTTTTGGAAAAATTTCATTTGTGCATAATGTTACAAGTAAGCGGACATTGAGAGATTATTAAGAGAGGGGAGGTCTTTGTTCGATGATGTTATGTTTCAAGGGAGGTATTTGAAAGATAGGGGAAGTTTTAGTATTTACCGCAAATGTTAAGGGAGGTTTAACTCTTTTACCCAAAAAATAACAATAATGATTCATAAATAGTAAGTAGTAGGTGATCTGATCTTGATTTAGTCTCGAAAGAACATATGCTTCATCTTCTCGTCATCATCATCATCATCCAGGTCTTATATGAGTCCTGTTTGGACTTTTCATTCCTTTTGGGTCTCTAAGTTTATCTCTAACCCTTCTTATCCCCTCATCACAAATCAATTCTTCATATGACCAAACCATCTTCTAAAATAAAACAAACTAGAATTGAGTAAAAAAGAACTTGATGGTTGATAAATACATAAACAGACCAAACATATAGTGGTGATAAGGTCAAGAATTTTTACATAAATATTCTATTTGTTTTGACATAAATAGATAGAAATATGGAGGAATGCCATTCAACTCTACTACCCCGAATCTCTATTACGAGCAGGAGGAGATTTACCAACCAGCTGGTTGGCACCATGCATGGAATCGTTACTTATAATAAACTTAAAATGTCAGTTATTGGAAGAGCTATTTGGCTCCCAGAATTAATTAAACAAAGATAAAAACCGAGCTAAAAACGGAAAGTGGTGCAATTCCTGTGGGCATACACTCGATTTATTTGCGCCACGCTTAAACTTCAATACAAAAGTTAAATCAGTAGTTGTTCCAATTAATGGGTCATTGTCTTCAATTTAACATGGTAAGGGTATTTGCGTAAATTTACATATTTATACCTCTTTTTTAAGTGCCGTTCTCCCTGGAAGGCAAGGTTGAAGAGTGTGAAAAGTGAGCCAAATGAAGGCTAAAAGAGAAGGGTTTTTTTTTTTTTTTTATGTTATAAATTTGATAAGATACTAGTGGGGGATCCGTGCGATGCACGCGAAAACGAAATACAATTTTTGGAATTTAATGGTTATTTTTACAATGTTATACTAATTTCATCTAATTTCTCATATTTTATGGAAATTGGTGGTTATTTTTCCCTAAGTTCTATTAATTTCTGGTAGTTTTTATTATATAATAGTTTATGATAATTCTTGGTAAATATAATATTTTATGGAAATTAGTGGTTATTTTTTGCTAAGTTCTACTAATTTTTAGTAACTTCTATTATACTAATTTATGAGAATTCTTGGTCAATATACACTTATTTTGTATATTTATTATATGATAGTTTATTAGTCACGTAGTGGAAATTAGTTCTATTATATAATTTCTACAAATTTCTGATAATTTCTATTATATACTAATTTCTTGGTAAGTATATAATAATGTATTATATTTATTATATGACAGTTTATTGGTAAATTATAGTAATTTATTGATTTTATAGAATTTAGTGGCTATTTTTGGTTATTTCTACTAATTTATGATAATTTTTGGCAAATAATTTATTGTATTTAGGATTATATTATTTGATAATTTCAAGTAATTATCATCCTAAAGTCTACTAATTTGTGGTAATTTCTTTTGATTTATTTTTAGTGATTTTTTATAAATAGTGGTATTTTATGTCTAATCATGGTAATTTCTTTTAATTTATATTTGATAATTTTTATAATTA